GACTTCGTTGACTAGTGGTAGGATAAAAAGTATTTACGTTTGCAGTGGTAATTTGGACGCAGCATTGATAGTTCGTGGGCGAAGTGAATCCAGTCGGTGGGCTGAGGTGTGGCAGGAATAAGGCGTTTCTCATGGATGATCAGCAATGCCATGCTGATGCCGTCTTCCTTATGGAAAGGGGGGGGTACAAGAGGTTGGTCCTTAAAAGGCACCGTTACTCATACTCTTGGGTATGGGGTTGTGGGTGATATAGGTTCATAGTGGAAATCGAATTCAGCAAACGTAAAAACCGGACTCTTTAAGAGACCATGTGGCAGTGTGTGATCGGTCGAAATCAGATGTACCTTGCGCTATATGCACTGATCGTTCTTCATCAGGTACCTCAAATAGAAAAAGCGTTCCTCGGTGTGTGCAGATAAGAAGTTTCAACTGCTCTTACGACTGCGTCATCACTCATGTTGCTCCAGAACATTATCAACGTTCCACATACTTACCTTTTTCTGTCTCTCAGTCAATATCCCCACACCATTTTTATTTGTTCCTGCTCTGCAGCTCTTGATAAAGATTTGAATTCACAGAATAGGATTCGTGGTCTCCTGTAACCGTGCTCGAAACTACGTGCTAAAGTTTTCAATATCCACTTCCTCCTTTAAATCGGTCAACAAAGTTCGGTCGCTAACTAAAACTCTGGCGTCACATGCCAGGGATGTGTATTGTGTTTGTTGGACACGCATACAGTAGCTACATATGGTTATTTACCTCACCTGGCTAATATACTGAATCTCCGAAACGCACCATAATAGTTACTGGAAATAAGATGTCTGGTTCTCGCGATCACACAGGTATAGGTGTAGAATCAAGTGCTAAATCAGAAAGTGTACTTCTCCACTGGAGCCCAGTTGACAGTCGCCTCTGCGCTGTCCACCTAAACGGCACAGCGAGAACAAAAAAAGAACAGTGAAACTCACCGTTGTCTCTTCGTAATCTCTACTTACGCACCCACTGACTGCAGCTCGGATGACGTGAAGGATGAGTTCTACTGGAAAATGTCTAGCCTCCTTCTGAAAGCCAGACGTTCACATGTTGTTTCTGTTGCAGGTGATTTCAAGTGAGTAGGCTAAGTCATGCAGAAAGGCACTTAGGTGTCACTTTTGGAATCCCAACCGAACGAACAGATAACGGCGATCACCGGTCACAACCATTTATTTCTGGCCAGAGCGAACTTCTGATGTCAAGAGGAACATTGTCTGATGTGGCGTCCACCGAGGTCATCTCAGGGACGGACACAGATAGACCACATTGCTTTCCGTTATTGCTAGAAGTGGTCAATGGAAGATTGCCACTCTTTCTGGAGCACGTGTTTGAACAGTGACTAAGCGTTGACTGGGACGCGTATATGTCTGCGTCCTAATGGGCGTGGGAAAAACCACAGCAAAAAGATCTTTGCGAAAACAATTCCACAATGAGAATACTAGTGCTTCTTTCCGCGAGAAATCGGGTAGACATTTATCAGATCAGGACAGAACAGTACTACCCATCTCAAAGAAGCCTGGTGCCACAAACGGTCTGCTCTAAAAACAGCGTTGAAGACCGTAGCCACAGTGGGACCAGCCTGCTGAACGCAGTGTCTAAGATCCTAGGTTCTATAACTATCAGATGTAAAGGTAGAGTTCCGGAATGTAACAGTAAAGGCGAGAAAATCAGACTTGGCTGTGGGTGTGTTGACCACATATTCACTCTGCGCTGGGTGATGGTAAGTAGACACACTTATCGTCACCTGAAACGAATCGAATTTCTCGACATGAAGACGACATTTAACTCCGTCTAAAGAGAAGCTTTATGGCAATTATCTGTCACTTAAAGGAGTATCGAGGAAGTAGATCATTCTATTGAAGGATCTGTGCACGAGTTATGTGAGATGTGTTGTCCACTGAATATATCCACTCTCTCCGTTCCCACTCAACTTTATCATAGGACATAAAGAAATCAACATGGGACCCCAAACACAAGTTCATCAGTTCAAGTTACATTTCGCATTAGTGTTCAAAGAACAAGTGGATAAGAAAGACTGATATTAAAGTAGGCGAAGGTGTATTTGAGGAGAAGGATACTGTTTCACTGTGTGACATTTCAAATAAACAGACTAAAATGAAATCAAAATCTACTGCAGTGCCCAAATTTTACTCCTATATTATTGCAGAGAAGGAATTTAGAAATTAAGTTCAGGTAAGACATTCGGGTTTTAGAGGGCGTGGAAAAGTGTATATCTCTTCACCATTGTGATTTACTTTCAACCATTTCACTGAGAGTCCTCAAGCCTTGATTTTTATCTTATCATCTTGCAGATTTCATACAGGTAGCTTACACCTCCCTGCCTGATTCAGACCAGCAAAAATAGACTGCACGGACTAGGGCAACGTCTTGTCCGGTCACTGTGAGCCCCCTACCAACCTAATCAAACTTATCCTACAATTGAAAGTCAAGGTAGGCAGGGGTTCGGTATGCGTGACACATGTCAGTCGATGAAGTTTCACAGCCCCATCAAACTGACTTTCCTACGTTAACATGGTGATTCAATCATGCACGATCACTGGTACAAAAAAACGTTGATCAATACCTGTAGCCAATTCATATCTACTTTCAAATGCCACTCCTGACATTCGTACAACAGGACAGAACGAACTGCAGCGCAGTATACTTGTCCTTTGATAGATAGTTGAATATCTCGCCAAATCGGCACCACAGGTGACACAAGTTGGCAAGTACCAAGGAGATTTCTGTATCCGAGCCGAGATTTTGTCAGCAACCAGACTGTTCCGTCTGATGCAACTCACCAAGTAGTTGGAATGATTGATGCATTCAACCAATTCACTCCCCATCCTTGAACTCGCAGTCAGCACAACCCAGCCCTGAAGCGTCATCTTACATTTGACAGGTTCCAGTGAAACGCATGCCAAACATACTCAGATTTCTGTTCAACGTGTTGAGAAGATACTGCATTTATTTAGCGTCTTCCCTGAGAAGGGCGATATCGTTTGGATGCTCCAAGTCATTCACATACTCTCCACGGAGTAGACAATCCCTGTGAAGTCAGACGTACTGTCCATTAGTACATCCACAACGAAGTTGAACAGGATCAGTGCCAGTAAGCATCCCTGATGGACACCACTAGTTGTTGTCAACTCACACGACAACTCTCCAGAAGCCCTCACATGGATGCGTGAGTCCCGGTAGAGAGTCTTGATTAGTGTTATGCACTTGCTTGGTACCCTTCTCACAGTCGGACACTGCTACAACACCTCATGCTTGACAGAGTCCGACCACGTTTTCAGGTAAATAAATATGGCTAGTGTTGGTTGCCGGGTAGCATGTCTGTGTTTAACGGGGAAACTTTGATCGTTGCACCCTCGTCAAGGTTTGGAAACTTCCTGGTTTACTCGAGTTTGTTGCTTTTTGGCTCCACTTAGGTGTCGGATAACTGCGAGTCAGATGAACTGTGCAACGTCCTAGCTACCTGTTCTGGGAGGTGGTCAGCATCCCATCTTATTCGGTGAGAGTTGCACTAAACACTGTCTTCTTCTCGCTGGTATGTTTAGTAAGCCAAAATGGTCTACTCAAATCAGCCAGTACGGATGACGTTGCGGAAATCCAATGACGCTTGTTGAATTTTGGATTTAGGCTACCAACTGTCTTCGTCGCTGTTTCTACGGTAGACTTCATACTACTCTAGGTTTCCTCACGATGAGGAATGCTGTCACGTTCAGATAAATGGTTACCTATCTCCTCCTTAAATGCACACTTCACGTTCCCATCTTCCAGTCGGGTGCATATAGGCTTAACTGGCATTTTTTCTGCGACTAGTAAGACACATACACACCAAAGTCCATACTAGGGTGCGAAAGGAATGCAAAAAAGTACTCCAGAAAGAACCACAATCCACCACCGATCCTATGCAATGATGAATTGTAGGAATCAGTAAACCTCTGAATTCGTTGTTATTTAACTGAGGGAAACGAAATCATTCATACTGACTTGGTATGCAGATGTCTGGACAGTAGGATTTTATTTTTAAATATGAGTGACACTTACGACTGACCTCTCATTTGACCTTGTACTTGCCAGATAAATGTATATGTGTACGTGTGTTCCCAGGATCGCATAAACTGTCGTACTTATCCCTCTACATGAGAAAGCGGAACTAAAGACTAACACTCGTTTAGTGGGGATTAGCTATTATGACTCACCAGTTTCGTAGGCAACGTTTAGACATTTTGATTGGTGGATGGTTGGGTATGATTATCAGTAACAGCATGAGCAATGTCTGTTATTTATGTAAATTCTTGTGATGAACTTGCGCAGAGTTGGTTCAGTTCAAACGCCTTCCTGCGCATCACAACAGCCCATAAAAAGGAGTGAACAGAAGCAGAGTGATATTTAGATGTACAAAAACGTTATGTAAACGAAATAAATAATTAAAGTATAATAAAATGCCTGGACTCTCGTAGATAATGAGTAAATGCATTTGCACCACCGCAATCATTTATATCTAGGTCACAGAATAGTATTTTAGGTCAATGAATTCAAGTGGAGAGAGAGCTAGTGATCGTTTATTCCTCTTTTTTCCGGTTGACATCTGGTGCACGCAGTTGGAGTGACTCAACTCATTCGCGAAGCTATAAAGTGTTCCACTATTATTATCTTGATAAGTGAGAACAATAAAACTAATCGAATGTAACTGTCTTTAATTAAAGGTAATAAATTATGCCCGGAACGTCGTATCATGATGACCCTCTCATCATTGGAAGTACCAAATAGAAACATCGAATACAGGATTATTTTCTACCATAGTGCACGACTTATATGCCTACGTCTCCTTATCCTCTACAGTGTTTTAAATGTATCATCTTTAATTTTGTTTTCATAAATTTATGCGTCTCACGCACGTTATGTAGTGAATTGTGCAAAGGTATCTTATGTTGATTTGTTTTTAATAACTGTAGCTGAAGGCTGCCGCAAGTATGCTTAGCAACGGTGTTTTAGCTTTTGGAAATGTTGTAAGTCGTTTTTTAAATTAAAGATTTTTGCTACCACATGCTATAATTGTTACGTTTTCTCATCTTTTTCACATATTTTATCTAAATCTGTTAAGTGAGAGTGCTATGTTGTAGAGAATTATTATTGTACTGAAATCCTTGTGGCTTAGCTACTTTTTAAGTCCATAGTAATAGAAGGGTTTATGGCTACCCTTACCGAAGTACAAGGAAGTTGAGTTAAAACATATTACCCCCTAGTTTATTAGCGTTAGTTTAAATTGGATTTTGTACTAGTGAGTTCGTTTAAATCCCCTTACACTTGCAGAAAAGCGTTTCGCATTCATATTTCAAACGCTGTTGGATAATTTTGTGGACTTCAGGATCAAAATTTGACCCGATAGAATTTGACAAGCTAAGCAATAGGTAAGTGAATTATAAAGGAGACATATTTATATAATCCCAGTGAGATAGAAAAATGGATTTCTGATGTTTCGCGACCTCGCTATTATTTCTTGCCAAGTTGGTGTAAATCAGAAAAATGATTGTAACTATTATCACATTCACCAGTTTTCTGGTTCGCATTAAAGGATTCGGTTTACTTTTATTTGAAGTAAAGTGAATCAAACACCATCGAGTGAAAAGCAGAATAGTCACGTCACACACTAACCAATGACTTGACTACTTGTTCAATGTTAACATGTATCTTTAGATTTTATTGAAAAATCTGAATCATTTATGAACAACCATGCCCATCATTTCTGTCAGTGTTGTTCTGTAGGAGATTTAGATGGTAGGATCAAGTTATTTGTGTCATATGGATTTTTCTAGTAAACAGCTGTCTTGTCAAAACCCTGAATGTGACACTCATCATTATGATTATAAGTAGCAGTGAAGTGCTCACGCCGGTAAATAGAATATTAAGGCTGCTAAAAATAATTAACCTTTTATTGAGATATATTTCTCTACAATAGTAGATGGCAGTTTTAATGCGCTGCGAAAATCTTCCCATTATTGTTTTAATCATTTAATCAAATTAAATATGGTTTAGATTCGCTTATTTCTTATTTTCCCTTTGCAGACATGCAACATTCTTGGATGGAATCGTGGTCACTAGAAGTTTTTCTGAATAAAAATGGAGCTTGTGTAAAACATTCACCGCATTAGCATCTTTTGATTCTATCTTTCCTTTGAAAGGTTATCAATGTGATCACCTTTATGTAGATAATAGTCTATTAATGGCTTGTATGTACATTTTGTACACGTTTCTTCCTTTTTGAAATAAACGAACACTAACTGTCCAAGGTTTTTCTTTTGTTATATTCTTCTTTGTGAATACGATCATTTAAATTGTCCCTTTCTTTACAGGCCTCCCCTAATCACATAAATATATGAATGGCGTCAGGTTTTCGTAGTGCTGCTTGGGATCCCTTTTTGATAATCAGTCAGATAATATTTATGCAGTGTGTTTTCTATATCTCTGCTGGTTTGGTTTCCGGGATTTTATTACTAATCTTCTCAGGAGATCTACCAACATTAGATATGCTTTTTATGGATTCAAAAGTACACTTTCCAGATCCTGTCGGAATTTGTCTATTCACCGGTTTCCTATTGACGCCTTTAGTTTGCAGTGTCGGTCTATGGCGTCTGATAAAGCGAAGTAAACAGTGTCTTGATTTCTCTTGTACAATTCATTTTTGGCATTTTATTTTTTGTGTTGCTTATTCGCATACATTTCCACGTTCTGTACTTTGGTGGATTGTTAATCTGGTCTCTATTGGTATTATGACCGTTATGGGTGAATTTCTGTGTATGCGAACAGAAATGGCGGCGATTCCTTTGGCGTCTACGTTTTCCAGTTAGGATAAAGTATATCCAGATGTATTTCTTGATTTAAGTTTTACCCTCATTACTTATATCACATATTTATTGCCATTTATGTTTTCAGACCTTATTTTTGAAAGTGTGAAGTTATTTTGTAAATTTAAAAAAAATGAGTATGATAGTTGTTTTTTGTTCACTTCATCCTATGTCACTCCATCATTCTTGTTTCAACCGTTGTGCAGTCTCTTATCATGGGACAAATGACATTGTGACAATATTTTCATTTTCATCGCCATATACTCTGGTTTAGTTAATTTTGTGTTAGTTTTAGTGCGATCGCTACTATGGTTTGTGGTTTATTACTTTCTAGGAAAGTTATTCCCCAAGTATCCACATAAATGTCTCCAGAGGCGGACTAATGCGCACTCAGAAATTTTGTTTTCTGTGCGTAACCAATGTTGGTTGGAAAGTCATTTTCGCACGGCAAGGTATATATTAAATTCATGTGAAATGACTGTTAAGTGCGTGTGAATGATACATGGAGCGATACTTGTTCATTGTATTTTTGTTTCATATTTATTCACAAGAATGAAATGACCTTCAGTATTGTCTTGAAAACTCAGTTATGTGCCATATTATAAGAAAAAATTTCCTTTTTCTTGACTTTTTATACTGTTAAGTGTTCTCAGTATAGTACATGCAAATTTGCATACATACAACCATATAAAGAGCTAATTGAGATTTTGGAAAGATAAATTTGCGGAAGCAATCTTAAGTAATTGCATTAATGTGCGCTCACAATACTTCCACCTTTTCTTTACCCACTTGTTTCCTTTCCAGTCGCTCTATAAATCTATAAATCTTTGTTGTAAATTTCAGCAATCTGACGTTCTGATTTCAACTTAGCTATTCGGTGGACTAATTCATTCAAGCACTCAGAGCATTTTGCATCTTAGTGAATTTTTTTTACCTATTGGAGAGATTTTGTGACAGCTGCTATTACTTTCAATATACTTTCGTATCTAATCATTACTGTCTGCGTTTTTTTATTTATGCAAACACAATACTCTATACAACGTGCGTAAAACGTCTTCGCATTTGGTTATCAAGAAAAGGTGTAACAGATGATCACGTTTCACCTTCCTTCGAATATAGTTACGCGATAATCGCATCTTATTCCTTACTTTTTACTCATTTTTTACCCATTTGCTAAGAAAGCCTGTATGCTAACGTGTTAAAGGTTGCTATTTCCTACTCGTATATGATTTCTAATGCATGCTACTTATATTTCAGATAGCATGTAGCCACCTCTGAGTTACATCACTAGTCGTTCTTTTAGAAACTAGCGCAACCAATGCAGAATATATTCGTATCGTTTCAAGAGTACGTGATCGACAACTACTGTGTCTTGATCGTCACCTAACAGTTGAACTATAATATGACTTGTTTGTTTGAGCAAAGACTGTATTCGTATCTGTTACTTTCAGTTCATTGCATAGTTTTCAATAACGCTTCAACTTTTGATGGTTTTTTATGCTCAAACTTCACTAGATGAATAAAGTAAGTTCTTTTGGATCATCCTCTATCCTTTGTTTAAGTCTCGGTGCAGGTTGATGTATTCCCTCACTTGCACACTGATTTGTTTGCCTGAAAATCCCATACCCAATAATCGCAGATATCATGGACTCAATATACGAATTAATAGCTACCTATTTCTAACTGAAAGTTTTTGTATTATCTTTCCATGCTTCATCAACTATACAAAAATATACAGTTTGTTATTTAAACTTTGCGTGGTTCATAAGACCATTCATAGCTTCATTGCATAGCAACTCAAAACGTATCTCATGCGACAACGAGAATAAAAGTTTTTTTTGGAGTAAATATGTTTTATTGATTGTGTGACTAACCAGTAGCATCTGGGACTTACCCTTAAAGGGTCAGGTAAGCAAGTAATTGACATACATTAAGTCTTTGTTATTGAGCGGTCAACTGTTACACTCAGTCACATTATTATTATTATTATTTTGGAAGTGGATACCAATTCCTACGTTGGTGCTGAAACTCCGATGGACATAACTGCGAAAGCTGATTTACAGAGGTCGAGCAATTTCACCCTGTGTAGCACCGGGAACTTTCAAGTATCAAAACAATAACTGATACCCGTTGCACTAGAGGTGGTTATCGTGGATAACGCTTTGGCGTTTGAAGCGATGGGTACTGGGTTCGAATTTCATTGAGATGCAGGTACACCCAGCTGACTTTTTTCATCAGGTCAGTGAGGTGTTAATGCATTGATCGTAGCCTCTTGCATGTTGTTTAACTCATCAGGCTGGTTGCATTAATAACACCACTAGTGCATCGTTATACAGAAATGCAGTCTGGTCTAAAGTTACCGAAATATTTCCTCAGCCGTCAACTAATACGAGAAGTTATTTAAGACTTGTCTCATCAAGCATACTATTTTAGTCTCTATCTTCACACCATAGACTTGCGGCATATATTGCGTTCAGAGTTTTTAAGTCAGCTTTATACAGCGAGAACCTCGCCTGGTTAACTAGTTACTAGCCGGTTCTAAGCCCGGATAAACAGAGAAGGTTGGGCATAGGGCTAGCAACCGTACCCATGAAATCCAATCGCTCTCTGCTAGTGGGTGGTTGTTGGTTAGGGGGTAGTTCAGTTTTGATGAGATTCTGTTCGGTCCCCGGCTGTCATATCCTTAATTTTCGTTATTTACTTAGCAGTTTTGGTCGACAGCTTTCTCGTTATTGGTAGAATATCAGTAGCCTGTTCACTTCTGAATCGGTTACTTGTGTAAACTACCACTCTCCCTCCCTCATTGTGCTCCTTGTCTCTTCTTAGCAGAAACATACCACCCATACTTATCCAACTTCACTAACTTCGGGCCATGATCAAGTTTGATCAGGATTAGGATTTTCGGTGGAAAATGGGCACAAAAGAATCTAATCCCTGACATTTTAACTCTGCGTGGCGTCATATTTCTGTAGAGATAATTTGAAGTGGTTCCCACCATGCAGTGGTTCTGTGGCATTTTTCCAAGTAAGTGCTGACCAATCATTTTTAATGGAACTGGATCACTTAGGTATTTTACCAAAACAACTTCTGCTGCTCCTATTAAGCCAAGGCTATTACCCAAATCCTCATCGTATGTGTATAGAAGATAGTGACTTGATCATGAGAAGGAACTTTTGTTGTAGATTTTCAGGTTTTCGTTCGTAGTATAGTATTCTTAGTTTGTTACCATGCCTACAGAGAGTCAAATAATAACTTTGGGTATCTGAAGTAAACCGCCATCAGTCGAGATGAGGACATTGTTGTAGGATGCATAGGCATGTGATAGCCGTAAGTTCTCAACGTTTCTACCACACTCTGCCCCATCCATGCAGACAGCCGCTGCTATTGGCGAATATTGTGTGTATCTTTCCCCTGGAGTTCCAGTGTTTAGTTTTGGAATTTCATTACCGAGGTGGAATTTTCCAGAGGAGTGTGACCATTGAAGACTTGACCATTATGCCGCATCTCTATCCATGACAGCTCGACTAATCCTGACTCTGATGATATGTTTAGGTTCTCTGAGTCTTCTTGAGGTTATTCGTTACATCCCTAATTGATACTGAGTAATGACTAGTCATTGTCTGTGGTAACTTTACGTGGAGAATTCAACGGGACAGGGCATCACCAAAGATAATCCACTGTTCTACACATATCCTTAAATATATTTCACTAACAAGTTAATGTAGAGATAATCATGTAAGATTAATGAAAGTATGTAAGTTTAAACAATGGTTTTTTGAACTTAATTCCAGTATTGCAGTTGTGCCTCTCTGAAAAGTTCCAACTACATCTCACACGTCTCGAAAGTATAGGTGAATTCGAAACTTGAGCTCTAGCAGTTGATTCAGACAAAATTCACCGGAATCAAACTTATAGAATGGGCTGCATGCTCTTCACTTGAAAATTGAAAAATCCCTAGTAATTAACTAATTCGAAATTGATATGTGTTCTAAACTTGTACATACAATCTCGCATTCTATTATTATTATATTATTTGTCCCTTGGGTTCCTAATGGGCTTCAGTAGCACGTCTCCAATGCACTCTGTTCTCTGAAATCTTTTGAACCTGGATCCACGACAACCCACAAGCTCTCATTTCCTCCTCGCACGATCACCTCCATGTCACCCTCGCCTCGGACGCCCAACTCGTCTCTTCCCATCCGGGTCCCACTCGTCGGCCTGGCCTGGTGCGTGATGTCCCCAGTCGGCCTTCTCAGTGTATGCCCAATCCATCTCCACTTCCTTCTGCATATTTGTTGGGCGATAGGTTGTTGTTTGGTCCCTTGCCAGGCCAGAGTTCCTTGTTTCTTATTATTTCTGGCCATCTGATCTTCAGTAACGGGCGCAGGCGGTTGTTGATGAATGTCTGTAGTTTGTTGGAAATGCCTTTCGTAACGCGCCAAGTCTCTGAACTATACAGAAGCACTGACTTGATGTTGGTGTTGAGAATCCGGATGTTGTTCACGCTTTGTTCTGAGTGCAGAAGATCTCCACACTGGTTTCAGATTAATGAACGCCTGTCTTGCTTTTCCGATTCTGGCTGGCTTTGACGTCCTCGTTTGTGCCGCCGCTTGTAGTTGAAACAGTGCCTCCTAGATATGTGAAGGAGGCTACTTCCTTTACGATTCTCCGTTGGTGGTGATTCGAGCTTGTTGTTGTTGGTGGTGTTGGTTGGGTATCATCATCACCTCTGTATTTCCTACGTTCACTTGAAGGAGGTCCCGTCTTCGCTGCTCTTCCTCTCCTGTCAACTTGTTAGTTTTCGCCTGTAGGTCTTCAAGTTTGTGTTACATCAGACATAAGTCATCGGCGAAATCCAAATCTTCTAGGTTCTTTTCCCCGATCCAGCCAGCTTGTCCCCCTCTTCTCGCTCCTCAGTGTTTGTTGCATGATCCAGTCGACCACAATCAGGAATATCATGGGGGATAGAAGGCAGCCTTGTTTTACTCCTGTCTTCATTTCAA